ATTTAATTTTAATTGTGAAACAGCGCGTTCTCATATAATCAAGACTGAAAAAGATCCCAAAAAATTAGGAGATCTTTATAATAAAAATCCCAAAATAGGTTTTTTTTATTGGCTGGAAGAAGAAATGAATCAATAATTTTTTTGTGACTGTGGCTAATACAATTAATCATATTGATAATCATTATCAATAGAAAAATTGTTTATATGATTAACTGTGTGTTTTAAGAATTCTTAAAATTGCTATTACTGAAATAAAATAAATCAATTTATAGTTAAATATAAAAAAATTAATCTTAATAAATTTAAATTCAAACCAAAAAACTTTAGATTTTTTGAATTTGAGTAAAAATATTGTGCAATTAGTTATACATTTATTTAAGTTTAATCATTTAGGTTTTCCAAAAAATCAAAAACTCAAGACTTTTGAATTAAAAAAAATATTATATTTGATTTTAGTATAATTATTATTTAAAATGATTGTCAATTAAAAAAAAATAAAGCTAAAAATTAATTCCCCAAAATTTTTAAATAAAATTATGAAAAAATATGTTAAATCATTTAATTATATGTTTCATTCAATAAATATTGCATTGAAATTTAAAATGTTTAATACCTTTACTTATCAAAAATCTTTGACATATGAATGAATTTTTCAAAAAAAAATTAAAAATTATTTAAAAATTCTTTTTATTATCAAATAAAATGAAAAATATCAAAACTTTTTTTTGGAATTTATTTCTTGTTTGATATTAAAAAGAATTTTAGTAACCTTTGAATTGAATCTGAAAAAAATTGACAAAATTTAAATATAGAACCGCTCTTAAAGAAAGAGAAAGAATTTTGTTTATTCTTATTTGCAATTTAAATAATTAAATAAATAATTTATTTCTCTGAACTTTTTTTTTAACAGCTTTCTTTTTCTGAATATATTTAATAAAGAACTTTAAATCTCTAATCATATTTTCATAAAAACCAAGAAAAAAATTAAAATTCATATTAATTTCTAAATATTAATGTTTATGAAAATAGTAAAAAGATATATTTACTCCAAAATGCATTTCTTATTTGAGTTAGAAAATTAATCTGTAAATAAAAGCAACCCATGGAAATGATTCATGAATTGTTTTTTGGAAATTAGCATAAGTTAATTAAAAATGGTAAGAGATATTTATATTTTCAAACTTTGAAACCAGAATTGCTTAAAACCCAATTTCCCAGTCTTACTTACAAAACGGCTTTCTTTTTCAGCTATTGTGTTAGGGATGCACGCGTCCATTCCTATTCAAGGTAAAAGTTTATTGACAAGAATTTGCATCTAATATCGAGATGGATTATAACTCGATACCCTTAGTTCAGCTTGCCTCTCATCAATAGAATTATTAAAATAACTTCCATTTGATCCGATCAACCAACAATGTGGCTGAAGTTCGAGAAAACAGCTAAAATCAGCATCCGTCCATAAACATTAATCAACACTGTAGCATCTTTTTCTTCGACAAGAATGGTCTAATTAAAAAATAAAGTTTCCTTAATGGAATTCTTTGCTCAGAGAGATCGAGCTCCTAATAAACGTTCAATTAGAAAACCATCAAGCATTCTCCCATTTATTTGATTTTCGACTTATTCATATGAAGATTTCTCCTCTTATAATCTATCCTCTTGGCACTTTGGAATCAGACCCAGTGTTAGATATACATTTTGCTTGATGAACGAAAATTTTAAACTGACTGAAAATTTAAGGCAGCAGAAAATATATTAATTAGAACTTTTTGTACTATTAATATATGAGTAAAATGAAGGCTAGGCTTTTCCTCTTCTAATCGTAGCAGTTCTTTGAAGCGAGGTTCCTTTATCTTTATTTCATTTATTACAGTCAATAGTTTTGAGTAGAAGGCTAAGGATTCTTTTAATATCTGTTTCGCATCCCATAAAACCACATAACGAAAGGTATCATATTCACTAATGACACGATCTGTAGCTGTCTCTCTAGTATTTTGCTAGTCATTTTATCATAATATCAAGTCGCGTTTCTGCAACTTTCCTGTATACTAACAAATATAATTATTTTCGTCCTCTGACTAATCTTGCATAACTGCTCTAGTAAAAAATTCTAAAGATAACTCCATCTCAGTTTTAACTTTCAAGCCTATTTCTAAATATTGCATGATAAATTTGCCTATTTCGGGCAAAAGAAAATAATTGATTGCAACGAAACTTTCAAAGACACTTGAAGCTGTTAAGTTTTTAACCTAAATTGAGCCAGTATACAAAAATTCTAAGATTAATTTCAAGGCCAAAGTAGACACATTCTGAAAATTAAAATCTTTTCACGACTCTTTCAGACCCTCAATCAAATAAAGACTGATATTTTGATGAAAAATTAATTAAAAAAAATAAGCAGCTTAATACTTATATGTCATGGAGTTGAGTTGATTTGGGATTCTATTCCAACTTGAGTTAGTTTTAATATTTAATGCGTTTTTTGTTACATAATATGACCTCAACATCTTATAAAGCATGAATGACTTACTCAAGTAACATTTTTTGAGCTTCTTGCAAAATAATTATTAGCCAGAAATGAAAAAAATAGAATAACACCGTACTTTTTAAAGATTATATAAACAAAAACATTGATATGTTAGAAAACAATTAAAAGTAAATATGCTTAATGCACTAGATGTACTATGTGACAATTATTGGCTCAACCAGTAGCTGCAAAAAGCTTTATGCGTTATTTACAAGAAAACTTAGTTGATATGTATAATTGGACAGATAATTCTTAAACTATTTAGTATATTTTGATATTTTAATTATTTGGCAAATTAATAACAAAAAAGTTTAAGCAAATGTAAGTAAAGTTTTATTATGAATAAATGTTTAAATAATTTCTAAGTTTAAAAATTAATGGAGCAAGCTAATAATATACTTTAAAACAAGGTTTTAAAATAAATAAAAGATAAAAAATTAATAATTAATTATATGGACTTTATTTGAATGACATGTAAAATCATAATTTTTTATATTCTTTTGTTTGTTTTTTCTTTTTTTCAGATTTGGTAATTGGTTTTTCACAAATATAATTATTAATAAAATAATAACAGCAATTGTAAGATGATTAATAACCAAATAACTTATAAAACTGACAACAACAACAACAACAAAAGTTTTTATTAAAATAATCAACAACAGTAACAATAACAAAATAACCAGCAGCAACAACAAAAAATAAACAAATAGCATTAACAAATAAATTAGCAACGACAATATTAAATTTTATAAAACAACGTACAAAAATTGGCAATTTTTGAAAAAATATAAATATTCTATTTTAATAACTTTTATATTTCTTACTGAAATAATAAGAAATGTTTTTTTTTTTTATATCATTTCTTATTAATATTTTTTAATAATATAATAATAACAACCAGAAAAATACACTTTATAGCATAATTAATTCATTTACCGATGCTATAAATATGTTAAATTATTTGTAATTAATATAAAAAAATATCTCATAAACGTGAGAATTTTGAAAATTTTAAATTTAATTGTTTAAATATTAATAAAGCTTTTATAAACAAAATAATTAGAATAATTAATAAAAATTGGATAAATTGAATACAAATCAAATATATTAAGCCATTTTTATTATGTAAGAAAATTAATGTTTATTATTTGTGTAAAAAATTTTTATTGTAATTGTGAAAGTTTAGAATATTAAATAGTGCACAATGTTAAAAATAATGAACGAATTATAGCAAATAAATATTATTAAAATTTTTAGATAACAAAAAATCCAATTTATAAATTTTAATTGGTTGATAAAAAAACATTTTTATTAGGTAATCTTATAAATAATATAATTGGTTGTATTGATTCAAGGATAAATTAAGATTAAATAAAAATTTTAACCTAATTTAACATAAAATTATTTAATGATAGAAACTTTAAATATGAAAAAATTATTTAGTTTTTATTTTAAACTTTATATGACAAATAAATTTTATTGTTACCTTTATGCCAACTATTTTATTAATTTTTTGCATGAATATATAAAACTATATTGTTTAAATTCTTTATTTATCTATTTACTTACTTTTAATAATAAAGCCATATAAATAACTATCAATCAAAATTTGAATCTATTTTTAAATATTGTTTTCATATAAAATTGAGCTTTACTAATAATAATTAAATATTTTATAATAGTTTTGTGTTTAATGTGAAAATTTTTATAAAAATTAAAAATTTAATATCGTAAAGAATAAAACATAAATATTTATATGTTATAATATTATTACAAATTAAAACTGTTACAAAGTGAAAATTTATTAAAATGATAATAAAATTTTGATATTTTATTTATATAATTATTGATAAAATATAATTAATAAATATTAATAATGCATAAAAAAATTATAATCAATAATATAAAAATAATAAACTTAAAAATAATGTTATAATAAAACAATAAAAAAATTATATAATAATTATAGAAAAAAACAAACAAACAAATTATTTAAATTATTTAATTAAAAATATTTAAAATGTTTAAATAATTTATAAATATATTTTATTTAAAAATCTTAAAATTCAATTTATTTTAATTTTTAATTACAAAAACAGTTTTTATTGATTTTCAAGTTAATTTATTTATTAAATACCAAAAAATAAATTATAAAATAAGTAAGTTTCTAATTAATAAATAACCTATTTTTCATAACTTTGAAAACTTTTGTTTTTGTATTAATTAACTAATTTAGCAATTGAATTGACAATTAAATTAATAATCAAATTAATTTAAAATTTTAAAATTAGAATTATATTAAATAATATAATAAAATTAATAGTTAGTTAATAAGCTACAATTAATTATTAAATAAAAAATTAACAATGAAAATCAAACTTTCCCCTTCTGAAAATCGAGAGCTTTTTTTAAACAATGTCAATCATACAATATATATAATTTGAAAAATTCTTATTTAGAAAAATTTTTGAGTAGCCCCCGCCTGGAATTGAACCAGGTCCTTCAGGAATGATGGTGAAAGCCGCATAAATTCTGATATGCAACGACTACACCACAGGGGCTCGAAATTTATACAATTCTACTAAATCAAATTTAATATATTCGAAATAATACCCAAGAGAATTGAGCATAATCTTAAAGCTGCACTAAGGAATAAGTCTATTCCTTAGCGCAGCTTATGCCTCAATGAGTCTACATTTAGTCTTTGCTATAACAAGAGTTCCTACTTTTCATCTTCGTCAAATTATTAAGCTCAATTAATTTTGGTATTGTTACCTTCGTCGAACGAATATTCCTTTCCTGGATGACTTTTAGTCATATCAGGCACCATTATAGTTTCATAGTTTGCTCCTAGAACTTGTAAACCTCTTAAGTTCAACAGGAGAGGTTTAGATCTTGAATTATAAATAAAATATCTTATTCTTTAATATATATGAAATTTAAAATACTAGAACTTCTTGAGCTCAAAATTTCAAAATCTAAAAATCGAGAATTAGTAAATTCTAAAATGCATAAATTTTACCCAGAAGACTCTTTTAAGATTCGAAGAAATTGATGATTTCACCTTAAGGGTCTAACTGCGTGATTATCTTTATGAAAGCTCCACATTCTTTAGCTATCTGTGATTAGAACAAGGCCACCTATCAAAATTTAATTTTGCCGAATACGAGTTTTTACTTGCAAAATTTTTCTCAATTATAATATATCTGGCTCTCGTCAGGTGATCATCCTGGATTATCAGACTTTAAGACAGGATAATATTTTTCCCCGACCATCATCAATTAATCATTTCAAAAATTGTGAAACTGTCGTGGCTATCTATGACTGGTAAAATGAACTGTATACATTAAATTGCGTAACGTTATATTCAATGTTCTAATTTTATTTTTGAACAACCTTCGGTTTCAATTTTTATTTCCAAATCTAAAAATCAACATGATCCCATTGCTTCGAATTTCTGCTCTTTTATTTCTGTTGGCCTCCTATATTTTTGTTGGTGTTAATTCAAATGTAATTGAATTGACACCTGACAATTTTGATGAGGTGGTCGGTAAAGATCGAGCTGTATTTGTAAAGTTTTACGCTCCGTGGTGTACTCACTGTAAAAACTTAGCACCTGTATGTATTAAACTTGAGTTCCTTATACACTTCGAAAATTTGAATTCTTTACATATAAGGGATAATTCATGATTTTAAATTTTTAGATATGGGAAGAATTAGGAGAAGCTTTCGCCAGTGCTAAAGATCGTGTTGTAATTGCTAAAGTTGATGCCGGTAAGTTTAAGATTTTTTGCATCAGAATCTTTTTTGTAGTTTTATAATCATTTCTTAATATCAAAAATTACTTCGCAAGATAATTACCATGACTTGGGAAGTCGATATAATGTTGGTGGATTTCCTACTTTAAAATGGTTTGATAAAGGGGTATCGGATAAACCGGAAGATTACTCAGATGGGCGTGATCTGGAAACATTGGCGAGCCATATTGAAAAAAAGACTGGTAACATTTAATCAAAGAATTTATTATTTGAAAGTTAATTAAATTGTTTAATCATTATTTTTTTGTTCGCTCAAAGGTATTCGACCAAGTATTAAAAAACCTGTAGTCTCGGTAACAATTCTCAATTCACAATCATTTAATGAGATAGCTTTAGACCCGAAAAAACATGTCCTGGTAGGATAATACTTAAAGGTTGAATCAATCAGTTTACTATATATTCATTTATCTGATAAACGTCGTGATTGTTTAATGAAAAGGTTGAGTTTTATGCCCCATGGTGTGGTCACTGGTAAGTTAGGTTTCCTGTTAGCATTTCTTTGCCTTTTTTCAAGAAATTAATTTCGATTCTATTTTTTAGCAAGAATCTAGGTATATAACTTTTAAGAGATTTAAATGATAATTGAGAACTCAAATATTATTCTCTTTTCAGCTCCAATCTACGAGAAAGTCGCATCATATTTTACCGAAGAATCGGATGTAAGTGAAAACTATTTTAAGTAAATGGCAAAAATATAAAGAAAAATTAAATACTTCAGCTTCTCCTTGCTTCATATGATATCGCTTTCAGTGTGTCGTAGCTAACTTAGATGCTACAGCACATAAAGACGTTGCCGATAAATATGGTGTCAAAGGATATCCCACAATTAAATATTTCCCAAAAGGTGAGGGAATAGAACCTGTTGATTACGAGGGCGGTCGTACCGAACAAGATTTTGTGAATTTCTTAAATGAACATTGTGGAACTCACCGTCTTGTGGGTGGTGGCTTATCCGAAAAGGTACAAGTTAATTTTTTCGCGCGTAAAAAATCATTAATCTTCATGTAATTAAATTCTTTTTTCAATTAAGGCGGGTAAAATTGCTGCTTTAGATGAATTGGCTCTCTTTTTTATCAAGGCGTCAAACGATGACATTGAAGATATAGTGGAGAAAGCTCGAAAAGTTGCAAAGAATCTAGATACAAGGTATTTAGTTTTAACGTTTTTTTATTAATTATAAAAAACAACCTCCATAGTGGCAAAAGTCAATGTGAAAATTTTTGCGTTTTCAGATTTGCGAATTACTATGTTAAAGTAATGGAAAAGAGTATGAACAAGAGCGAATATGTTAACAAGGAAACCGAACGACTCGAAAAGCTGTTAAAAAAATCCGGAAATGCAGTCGCCAAGACAAAAATCGATGACCTCACAATTCGAAGAAATATCTTGAGAAGCTTTAATAAGACTGAAGAGATTTCTATACTTGAGGATGAAGTTGAGGAAGGAGTTCACATCGAGTTATAAAAATTGGTATTTCAATTTTATATTCTTTGGCCTTCGTATTTTCTTCCAAAAATTTTTCTCCAATATAATAAAATTTAGGGTACAGATAATAAATCATGATTTTTATTTTTTGTGAAACTTCAGATTGTTCCAATTTTTTGGGAGATCAAGAAAAACCATGAATTCTTTGATTCACATTTAAGTTTGGTGTTAAGTTTTTAATGACATGATTTTGTGGCAATAAGCGAATTGGATCACAAACTTCTTGGACTTGTCTCCTTAAATTGTAAATCACATACAATTTCCGCTTTTTATTATGTTCGATTCACAAAATTTGACAATAATTCTAATGCTTAATGCTATTAAACCGAACAAATTTAGCCAATTCCTTCCGCAGTAGACTTTCCAAAAAGGTTAAGCTGAATCTCTTAATTTTAGACCTTAAGAGTTGAGTTAATAATTAATGACAGAAAAATGTTGACAAAAAGTACAATCCACAACTTTGTGAACATTACTAATTAAAATTTGTATTGAAATTTTTTCAGCTGTCACGCGGAAAACTAATAAATATGTTGTGTCTAAATCACAATTGCTCGAATTTGGAATTAACACTGCGAGAATTACATATCAACAAATATACTCCTATATTAATGTGTACATACACATTCTGTTAAAAGTTGAATTTATTTGTTTGAAGTTAAATAGTCGGTTAAATCGTAACACAAGTTTTTTAAAGTGGATAATTATGAACTTGATGCATTTTCATTGAAAGAGCGGGAAAAGGTATTATACTAGGATGTGACACATCCCAATTAAATAATAATAACAGGTTAATAACAAGTTTGTACACATTATGATTCCTTTGAACTGGTTAAACACTTTGAACTCTAAAGAGGTTAAATACCCTTGCTAGTTGTAGCTATTTCTTTTTACACGCTTGAAAAACCATTTTAATCATTCCTTTGAAATTAGAAATGGCACTTCTTGCCGACCTTAAACTCATGGTGAATAATCCTAAATTTAGCGATCTCAAAATTAAATGTGGAAATTGGAATGAAGGTGACGAGATACTCTATGCATCTCGTCTTCACTTGGCAGCTCGATCTGAATTTTTTGAAAGAATGCTTTTTAATGGAATGCGTGAAACAACTTCCAACGAAATTACTTTTCCCAACTTGTCTACTTCGGCTTTGAAGTTAATTTTGGAATTTTTATATACTGATTCAATTGAGGTCAAGAACTTAACAGCCTCCAGCGCATTCGACACTTTTGTTGCAGCCAATTTTTTTCTCTTGCCAGAAATAGAAAAAATTGTTACACAATATGTGGAAATAGGCTTGAAAGCTGAAAGTGCAGTGGATTTAGCTTTAGAATTTTTCACTAGGGCAGTTGAGCAAGATTACTCAGAGGACGAAAATGAATTATATTTATTGGTATACAGGAAAGTTGCAGAAACGCCACTTGACACTATCCCATATAATAAAATGACTGGAAAAATACTAGAGAAACTCCTTTCTGAAACTAAAAATCATATCATCAGTGAATATGATATCTTTCGTTATGTAATTTTATGGGGTGCGAACCAGGTATCAAAAGAATCGTTTGCCTTCTACTCACAACTATTGCCGGTAATAGATGAAATAAAGATAAAGGAACTTCGCTTCAAAGAACTCCTAAGATTAGAGGAGGAAAACTCTAACCTTCACTCTACTCATAAATTAGTAGTACAAAAAGTATCAAGCATTCTCCCGTTCATTGATTTTCGACTTATTCCTATGAAGATTTTTGCTCTTATAATCGATCCTCTTAACATTTTAGAATCAGACCAAGTTCTAAATTTATATCGATATTTTGCAATTATCGAAGGGAATCGAAAAATTGAATGGGATCCAAAAATCGCTCCGCAAAATTTCAAACTGACTGAAAATTTCACGGTTGCAGAAACTAAATCAAATGAAAGCTCTTTAGATAAACGTTTGCTAGGAGCTCGATCTCTCAGAGCGAAGAATTCCATAAAGGGAACTGGATTCTTTGACTGGACTATTCTTATTGAAGAAAAAGACGCTACATTGTGGATTGGAGTTTGTGGGGCGGACGCTGATTGCAGCCGTTTCCTCGGACTTCAGCCAAATTGTTGGTTAATTGGATCAAATGGAAGTTATTTTAATAATTGTGTTGTTGGGAGGCAATTTGAGGTGATATTTAATAAAGGGGATCGAGTTACAATCCATCTCGACATAAGACAGCGAACCCTCGCTTTTTCTATTAATGAAGTCCGGTATCCTACCATATTCACAGAT